TAATCTTATAGAGGTACTTCGGTTGGAAAGTGTCACAACATTAACCAACGTCCCAAAATAAGAATGCGAGGACGTTCTTAAAATAGACGATTGAAATATAGAATAGGGCCAGTTATTTTCGATCGTGTGCGGTGACGTCATACCGCGTCAATTATTTTTAATGACTGTCAGTCGCACGCAATGAAATATGAAAAATATTGAATTTTTCATATAAACTTGAAATATCATAGGGTCGTTAATATGGTTCAATTTCAGTAGGAAATAATGTCATCGATGATGACAGTTGACTTGTCAATGCTTGAAGAAGCTATAGAAAATTTGTCTTACGGTCGCTAAGATTAAACATATTTTATTATTCTTCGGTAAAATTGGGTTTTATTCACGTTATAATGTATTTAATCATCCTCCTATTATAGTAAGTTAACACAAAAATCGATCATTTGAAAACATTTATATTTCTCACATGTTGTTGCACATGATGGCATTGTATAAATAAAAAATAAAAAGATGATTTTAGATTTTAAAAAGTCCTCCCGTCCTCTTTCAAGTCCTGCCCGTGTCGTATTTTTTTTAATCAATTTAATGATTTCTGATTATATTAACCGCCTCTGTAGCTTAAACGTGTTGCCTAGCATTGCGTTAAGCGCGAGAGGTCCTGGGTTCGAATCCCGGCAAACAGTAAATTGTTTCGGTCGGGCAGGGCACAGAAGTCTGATCAACTACTTGCCTGTAAATAAAACCGACCAGTGAAGAGCGGACACAGAAATGTGGTCGCCCTATGCCCGAGGGGAAAACGGGATTTCACATAATTATCATTAGAATTTCAGGAAGTGAAATAGATTTCGATAATTCACTTACACGCTCGTACAACATGTTTACGTAACAAACACATTAATATGACTTATTGTTATTTATCATAGAGACTAATTAATTGGTCGAAGCTTATTCATGTATTGATACCTCTTATCGCTAGGTTAATAAATACATCCGAGTTTAATGTAATAATATTGTAGACAAAACAAAATATCCTTGGCGTTATGTATTTTTTTTGCTTAAAATTTGTATTACAGTGATAATCGAATGCTGAACGTGGGGCAAACTAATGATTATACATATTTGAGAGTGTGTGTTGTATATAGTTAGAATTATAATTGTATAATAAATAGTTGTACTATCATTGTGTCTATTTCAGTGATCGATTTTACTACAAACAAGAAGATTAGTCGTTCTTGTCCCGACTGAACGATTTATTTTTATATTTCACCGACATCGAACCAATACCCTCTCGTGATTAATGCTAAGCAAGGTTTTTCTTCAAAGCCATGGATGAGGTTTAAATAATTATTAATTCACTTAAGTTTCTCTCGGTACCAGGAAATCCATCATATGTTTACGCTGTACACATTTCAGGGTTACTGTAAAGCCCCGATTTTCAAGACTCATCATTTTCAGAAAAAGTTATATCATGTTTATTTACGTAAATTCAAATAAACAATTTTATCACATGTTTCGTTACATTCAATATCTCAGTATTTTAAAACATTACGCAGATAACAAATATATTTACTAGTAAAAAATAGACCAGTAAAAACGTAAATAAATAATTTTCTTTCCTTTGTAATTAAAATTTCCAAGCCCGCATAATGTACAACATAAGATGTCTAAGGTATAATTATGTAATTATTATTTTTTTGTATGAATGTCATAGGAAACTGAATTAATACAATAATAATGTAAAGACTGTAAAATTTGTTTCATAATTCATGATTATAGTGTTCTAATAAAATTAAAATTAAAACTTTGAGAAATCAAATTTGTGTTGAGGCCTGAACACGAAGAAAGTATACCTAATTTTCGTCTTAAACCTTGACATTTAAATATAATTTGTTTAACTCACTCCACGCTACAACCGTGTACATCAGAATGTGTATTTTGTTACCAACTCGGGTACAATTTCTGTATTTGACGTAATTGTAAGCCATAATGCCATTATTTAATTAGTATCGTACAATGTATGTAACATAACAATATATTATGCATCCTTTTTTATGTTAGTGGAGGACGAAAAAGCTTGGAGTTCACTAGATGGCAGGTTCACTTGACCAAATAGATGAAAATTAGACGGTGTGGCCTTCTAACATCGCTGTCCACTTATTTTGTCCATCCACAATCTATAGCAGATAGGTATTTGAATTTTAACACGACTGCATAGTTTGTAATTATTACAACCGTGAAACCGAAAAGTTACAAGAAATTCTTTTAAGGTAATCTTAAAGACACAATATGTCTAGCCTCTATTTTTTAAGATCACTTAAAGTGGAATTATTATTTCATACATATTTTTAATAGGTCCTTAGATAAGCGCGTTCAAACAAATAAAAAACTCGGTTTTATAAAATTAGTATAGGTTAGATACAAATTATATTATTATGTGTTTTTAAAAAGATTTAATATCTACATTTTAGATATCTTTCCATGTACTGAACCATAATTCCGACGGTTGTAATCTGCACTATCACATCTTGGCGGCCGCAAACCTGATATAGATTTCTGATATTTTGAATGGATTTATGCAACGCAAAAGTGTTAACAATCAGGTTCCGAGAACGATAGAGGAGATAATCTGACAAATAATGTTTACTTTAAATAATTATTTTACGTCACATTTTATTCATCTGAGAAGTAGAACAGAATTATGTTTGGCCGATATCACTGTTCAACTTTTAGCTAAGTTTCGTATAGTAATCTCGACGTTAAAAATATTTCTGGCTTCATAGGTAAGTCACATTGACTGGCAATTATTCAGAGAACATCGTTTAGAGAAAATAGCTAAATCGTCCACGAGATCCAAGGTACATAATAATATAATGAATGTATTTTGAGGCAAATAAGTTCAGTTAGTTACAAGATATTAATAGCTGAAGATTTTTGGTTGTTTGAAGGCGCTAATCGAATCGAATTGTAATGAAATATTTATCGAGGAAGGCTTTAGGCTTTAAAACTGGCTGCGATTTATAGGAACGAATAAACAGAAGGAAATGTGGAAAAACGAGGGAAAGTTACTATCTTTCAGGGCTTACGCTGCGTGCGTTACGGTTAAAGAAACCAAAATATATGTATGACCGAATGATTCTTCTTAAAGTATCTAAAATGTCCGCCACAATATATGACATAAATAAGATTAACTCGCAAGAACCGTTTTTATTGTAATCAAATTTGACTGAAATTAATTCGTTATCACTATTTATTTGTTTCAGTTGTATTAATATAATAATATTAATCTTGTGTGATCTGATCGTAAATTATAGTATAAGTATAAAAATAAAATTGTTCGGTTTAACTAAAGTTGTCAGAAACGTGATATTACTATTACTTACTCATATATTACTTCACAATGTGATCTATTATTATATTTGATTCATAGATCTGGTGGCAGTCATAAAGTTCCATGTAACGTAAGAATTTTCCACAGCTTGTGTACAAGGCAAATAGGCTTTATATCTTAAGCCGCATTCGTAACCAATTACATCTAATCCGATCCCTAAACAAAGACAGTGTCCTTCAAATCTATTGTCTTATAATAATAGATCGGGTATAAATTTCAATAAACCACTTTAACGGTTTAAAACGCGATATTTACCTACGTCCCGACGTTTCGGGCCGTTCAGTCTCCCCGTGATCACGGGCTGCTACAAAGCAGCGTCGGGCCGTAGTTAAAATAATTTTCAAATAAGTTTAACTAATATATGCGTTTTAAACCGTTAGACTGTTTTATTTAAATAGCCTTGATTAATTTACATAAATAAATGTCCGTTTCCTACGAAACCATTTACTTCAATACATTGGTATAAATATAATTTTCAGGAAAACGTGTTCGTGCTAGACTTTTCAGGAATTTTAATGACAGAAAAACATAAACAATCCTCGACGAGAGAAACATTAAGAGTGATTTGTTATGGATTTTGGCATTGAATAGTATTATGGCCGAATACTTTTCCTCGAAATGTTGTTGTTGATATAAGTTCATGTTTACTACGAAAAAATTTAAAAACGTTTGCTAGAGACAACACAAAGTCCCTTTGCTATGTAAAATTTAAACTTTGCAATTTAAGTTTTGGTTACTTGCTTTATTTATCAACTTGTTAATTTATTTTATTACTCTTAAAAATGTATATAATTCGGTTTAATTTTTTAAATCGCATCATTTATTAAACATTACGGAACTTCGGACAAGAGAAACAGACAACAAGACAAGAGAGACAGTATTTAAACAAAGGTATTTTAATTTTAGACTGAAGTAAATTTTTCGCTGAAAAGTTTCATTTAGTCCTTTTTTAGCATTTAACAAAATCAAATAGTCAGGAGTAGCTACTTTTACTGGTTCATGTTCCCTAACTCATCTGTGTACAGAACTTTGAACGTAAAACGGAACTACTAAAGTTATAAATAGGAGAGGCGCTCAGCGGATCCGAAGTTTTAATTCATACCGTTTAGTTTATACGGCATTTAATAAACTAGCTAAAGTATTTTAAATTGATCTATTACACGTGGAATTTATACTAGGTTCACTATAAAGAAAACGAAATTGATATATGTGCGTATAACTTCATTCATAATTAACTAGCGCCTCTGTCGGGCAAATCTGTCGAAATAATTACTGATCAATGAATGATAGATCATCACTTCCGTAAACCGTCAATCACATACTACACTACCTCTGACTTATGTTAATGATAACAATATTTTTTTTTGTATGGAATAATTATTTCAATTATCACAGAAATATCTTTTGAGACATCACTCTTTCCGCTTAGTTAAAATTAGTAGTTATAATTTACGTAAGTCAGAGGTAAAAAAATTAATGGCCTTACGGGGCAATTCTAACTAAAGAGATAGATTTACTTCGAATTTTGTCACTAGTTTCAAATCTGACAAAAATTTGCGACAGATGTCGTTTAGTTGAGAATTGCCCCCTTGTATACAATGCAAGTGGTACATGCCTTGAGTGAAGCCATGTCAGACACGGAGCGATGCGTCTGTATCGTCTCCAGCTGGTCTAGGCACCAGTCCAACTCTTCAACCGTCTCTAGCGCGAGTTTCATGTAGGCTTCATCTGCAAAGAGAAAACTTACTTTAATCTCTGACAGTGAAAGGAAACCCACAAATGAATTACTGCAGTAGACCTACATGAAGATAAAAAAATTATAATCTACATTTTTATGCCATGTCTGTGTATAGAAACGTATAATGCGATTGCCGGCAGGTTTGTAAATGGTAATAATTTGTTATCTAGAACAAATTGAGTAAGCTTTAATTATCTGTTACGTGTTACTTCATCAACAATAGAAGTCAATAACCCTATGAAGGGGAGCAAAAAATATGATTAATAAAAGCATTATGTAAGATGACGATTACTATTCAAGGAGCCATGAGACTGATTTAGAAATCTCTTCAATTCTAATTATTCTTTTATAACTGTAAGTACAATGGATGCTTACGTAGTGAAGTTTTCCTTTGCGTCAAAGCCAAAAGATCGGGTTATAATTTCGTCATGTATGTACTCGTCTAACGGTTTTAGTATTAAGCCCATTTTAGGATCCAGGTCCTTATTAAGTCGTGATAAAGACTGATTTCAAACTCAAAATGTTATCGTGAAAAAACTAAGATGTACTCAATATTTGCTTGTATTGTGTGTTGTTTTCGACATTTGTGTTCTGTTAAGCTTCGGATTACTGAACAAGTCTGCGATTATCACATGTTGTTAAAATACAGTGAGCGCATGACAAGAAAATACAATGTATAAAGTTTGCAATTTTTAATTTATTTTCGTCGGGCTATACTTATTAAATGTAGTTTGAAATCTTACTTGTTTAAGTACAGCATTTTGTTTTAAACGTCTCGCGAGATGTTAAGAAGATGCGACCTCGTGAAGATTGATTTGATTACAGCACGGTGCTGTGCCGTGATACACTACGTCACTTATCGTTAAGACTTTTCACTTTAGAGGAAACGAATGTATCAGTATTGATTAAAATTGTCGTTATGAGTGATTTAGCGTCATTCGTGACGATTAAATGTGATTAGAGTTTTACGGACAAAAAATAAAGACTTTTAAATCTATTCTAATGGGAAAATAGTAGATATAGGCGGGACTCGAACTTGGATAAGTTACAGAACAAAAGATTAAGAAGAGGCTATAGGTACTGCGTTATATAACGTCAATGGAAATTAATTGTTAGAATCAGCACACCACTGGACAGTCCTTAGACCGCTGGAGTCTTTTTTTATTATATTATATTATATATCACGATGAGAATCACTTTGTCACGATAGGACAGAAAATTTGTCAAATTACTATCTACATGTCTAAGTGAGTGGCTATCATATCCGCAAAAGACGACGCGCCGTTTGTGGCACTTTTGAAAAACAATTCGCATATCTCGAAATCAATATCGGTTATATCAGAACGAATCTTAAGATAAAACATCAATATTGACATAAGGTCAAGTGATAGAATTGCTTTTGTGGTTACGTGGAAAACTTTTTTTTGTATAAAATTGTATATAATTTTTTTTATAATAGAGGTGGACGGACAAGCTCCAGATTCACTTGGTGAAAGGTAAATGTCTGTAGAGCACAGCTCTACCGAAACAATCAATTGCTTCTTAACGCATCCCTAGGCAACACACTTAACCATTTATATATTGCCATTATACCTTGTCAAAAGCTATACTGAAGAGTAATTTATATAAATTGTTAATTTTTCTACCAGTAAGCGTAGATTGTAGATTTTTGTACACGAGCTCTCAAGTATTTTCCACTAGTGGTAACGAAAAGTGGGTATATCCACTCTGTGTAGCACACTTCTTACCGTACTTCAGTCGCAATTAGCCGTAGCATTCGATTGCAATGTGATTCTTAAGTTAATTTAGCTGATCTAAGTTAGAAATCTTTCGTTACTTACCTACTGTGCAACTAGAAAACTAACAATTTAAGGTATTATACTGTTTTATCACAATAAAGCACTAGAACTTAAACTGAAAGTCACATTTTTGTTTCGTTTTAAACTAGAATCAATGCCCACGGTTCAAAAATTTTTCAGACACTGTATAATAAACTAATTGAAAACCGGTGTAAGCCGAAGAATTTAGACGATACATATAATTGTATGTGACAATTGTTTCATCACGACTTATCAATTGTTTTTTTCATTTGATATCGTTTAAATCGTCCATTTTCGTATTTTAAGTGTTTAAATTTAAGTTGTTAACCTCGCTACTTATTTAAAAGACTATAACAAATATATCTTATTGTAAATAAATAATTATAAATGGCATCGTTATTCTACTTAAATGTGTTTCGAAGAGAAACTATTTAATTTTGTGTACAGCGACATCTAGCGAGAAAATGGAAGACGAATGGCAAGTACAAAAACAAATCTTCATCTTGTTTATGTCAATTGACACTAAAAGCAAAACTGAATGGATGCAAAAATGCGCAGAATTCTTAATTACGAAGATATACTTATTTTTTTCTCGTGTATATTTAAATATATAAAATAAGTCTCTTGCAAATAGTAAACTTTTATGGTTTCCTACTCTCGAACTTTTTGTTTAAAAGAAAATGCAAATATATTTGAAAAAGTTTGGGTTTCCTTGACATACCAGGAAATAGCAGTTACTTAGTTACGAAATCAAATCGTTACACGTGTATATCTAGCCTCCGTTTTAATGTTTTATGAGGGACAAACTTATCTTAATCCTATTTATTACTTTTGAATATTGCTGTTTTGAAAACTTAAAAAAAAAAAAAAAAAAAAAAAAAAAAAAAAAAAAAAAAAAATTTCGACTCGGGAGTTGCTCTACCAATTGACACCGAGTCAAGCTCCTTTGGTACAGCAACAGCACGGAACGCTGACCATGCCGGTTCAAGTCCTGACCGAGACGAACATTTTTTCAATTTATTTTCGATTTTTAACTTATTACCGTTTTATTAAAAACGTATTAGTTGAGTTGAATCAAACATTCTAAACATTATCATCAAAAATCCTATTACAACATGATAAAAATTGTCTGGCGATATTACGAGTATATGAATGAAAGTCATAAATATGAGATTGAAAAATTAACGGTGCTTTAAGGAAAGAATAAACATAAAAAGGACTGAAGTTAAGTATTAATTATGTATTTATATTGTAATAAAAATAACTTTTTACTCTATCAATACTATGCTTTCGTCCTACAATTTAAATTTCTTATGTCTTTGTGATACTTTTAAATACTAAAAAAATACATTAAGCTTTTTAGTTTGAAATAGTTTTTCAAAGTTTATGTACATTTAATATTGTGATTAAAAAGGTTAAATTGTTTTTATACAATTGAAACTTTCCAAGGTTTTCAAGTAGCAATTAAATTTAAAACTACATATTTTATATTTGTTGTATATATTTATTCACATAGACAGCCGGCATTAGCATAACTGGGTCATTTTATCTTATTTCTTCCCGGGATACGCGTTGAATAGGCTTTTTGTCAGACCACACACCCACGCTCAGTAACAGGAGAATCCAATCTTTCGAGTAAACGTGTTCTTATCTTATTCTTGGGGAATGTGTGTGACAAATCAGCGTTCTCAATTACATGGTCAGGTTGTGTCTTACAAAAATGCTATTATTTATCGATATGGAATTTTGTTACTCGAGGGTGTATGATAAATCTATACTAATGTATAAAGGTGAAGAGTTTGTTTGTTTGTACGCGCTAATCTCAGGAACTACTGCTTCGAATTGAAAAATCTTTTTGTGTTAGTTAGAGCATTTATCGAGGAAGGTTATAGGCTAAAACATCGCGCTGTGACTAATAGAAGCGAAGAAACAGCGGGAAATGTGAAAAAAAACGGGGAGAATTATTTATGCTTGTGGGTTTCCGTTGCTAACGCTGCAAAAACGGTTCAAGAATTTTTTAATCCTACCTCTAAATGATCTAAAAAAGTCTGACGCTATGTCTATCTTTTAAGATTAACTTACACGAACGATGGGATGGGACGCGGATGAAGTCGTGGGTAAAAGCTTTTAAATCTATAGAGTCGAACAGGAAGTTTGCAAAAACAAACTCAATGCCCAAAATAACTTTTCTACTCGGACGAAGTCGCTGACTCAGCTAGTATAATCTAATATACCACGACAATCGTAGCAAGTGCTCAAACATAAATTTAAATAAAACACTTTTTTAAACGCGTTATATAAAAAAAAAACATTTTCTATGGATAGACTGAGCGACCGATATATTTACCTCCAGGGTTATAGTTTTTGGGCTGAGGAGTTGGAGCTGTAGCTGCACCGGATGATCTACGTGATCTGAAATAGACAGAAGCAGGTCCATTAATAGCGATGAATGTAAAGTAAATAAATACGTTATACATGGCGAAAATGTTCAAATTCTAAAATTATCCCTAGAAGTGAGGAATAGTAAACACTATGTCCGCAGTTTAGTAGTCAAATGCGTTGCATGAAGTATGAGATATCCTAGCTAGTTAAAATGTCGAAGGCAAAAACTACACGAATATATGGAAATACAGTATAAATAATATTGCTATACTTTAGTTTGGGTATGTCACAGATATATTTTAGTACTATTGTTTTCCGACCCTGAATCATAATGAATAACCGCGTTAAATCATTACGTTATTAGCAAAAAGCCCTGGGTTCGCATCCCACGCATAAAATAAAACCAATCAGTACAACAGAATCAGAAATATGTCTTCCACACGCACGCAAGAGAAACAATTTTATATAACTCATTGTTAATCATTAGTCCAGGTTCGGACATTAGTCCTTAGGTACTAGGTGAGTGGACTCCCTTTTTAGAGGCAACTTTATTATTTTATTTTCTCTATATTTAGTCGTTAAATATGTTTATAATTCTTTATTATGTTTGTTTTTCAAAATTAGTTTATTATAGTAAAGTGTTATTTTCTGAATGAACGTATTTTTATTCTATTCTATTCTTAAACTAATCATAAGTCAAAGGTCAACAAAACTTACAATAGTAATTATGTAACATTACTAAAGTAGTTACCGAATTGACAATATACGTAGTTTAAACTATCTGAACTCGAATAACAGTTGCGAACAAGTCTCCTTTTGAAGGGATGCGACAGTATAATCTTCTTGTAATGTAATTTATACGTAGAGCTGAACCAATTGCGGTATGAACCGAGAACTTTGATCAATAAACTCTATGTCAGAACGCACATAACGTTTGAAGATAAAACAAAGACAAATTTAGCACGCATATTAATTAAAATAATTAACAATAATCCTATCTAGACTAATATTATAAAGCTTAAGAATTTGTTACAACGCGCTATTCTCGGGAACTAGTGGTTGGAATTGAAAAATTATTATTGTGTTGGTTGGACCATTTATTGAGAAAGGTTTAGGCTGTAAAACATCAGACTGCGACCAACGGGACCGAAGTAGCAGAGGGAAATCTTTAAATGATTAAAAAAAATGTCCCCTACAGTGTATATCTTTTAAGATTAACTAGCAAGAACGTCGCGACGCGACTACGTGGCTAACAGCTATAATTATAAGCCGGGGAGGTTGTTTGCAAAAATGAATAATATGATGCTTAGAATGACTATTCCACGGTGACGAAGTCGCGGGCACAGCTAGTTTAATTGTATAAGATGTTTCTCAGGTATCTGGGAGGTATATAAGAATTTATTTAACGGTATTTTACTGCTATGATAGATATTTCTTGTGTTAAACTTTGGCAAAAAAGAATTGCATGTAATTGGGTCGGTAGTAATTGTAGGCATTGGGGCATTAATTAAGTCATATTTACGTTTCATAGATACAACATAATAGAGGAGAGTCGGTCAACCGTATTAGCTAGTTAGGCTGTAGGAAAATATTCCGTTTCATTCGTTGGCCTTTAGGAAATTAAATTGACATACATATATACTACGCTGAAAGAAGATGATGTGTTTATAGCTAAATAAGTAAAGTATAATCTGTATATTTATAATTTATCTATGGCTAAGTATTTAGTTTAATCTGTGGATATATCGTGAGCTTTTAAAAATGGAATACCGACACTATGGTCAATATTGGCGCGAAATTCCATTTCTTTTAGATGGTGCATGAAGTTATTTTGTACATATTTCGATCTTATATACGGATATATTAAGGAATTTGAACCCCAACGCCTAAGCTGTCCAATAACCATTGAGCATCAGAAGCGGTCAAGTTTGAATTATTTAGTTAAAATGATAGTTTCAAGCATGTCTCTACGGCGTAGATCACCTCTACGGAACTGTATCTTGTAAATGTGCGAGGGTAAGGCTATCGTTACGTAACGCGTTACTACTTCTGTGAGGCATAGTTATAATTAAAATAGCTTATCTTTGGTTAGTTCAAGGTAAAGCTTAAAAGATGAATAGTTTTTGGAAAAAAACATTGTCTTTGTGTGTCTCGGTGGTCCATCTCTGATCTCTTAAATAAATAAAACTCGGATGTAAAGACGAGTTCAACAATATAATACAGATCTAGAGACGTAAAAAGAAGCCACTTTGGCTGATTTGATAGAAACGTTTTTGTATGAAAGCGGGAAGGTCTTATTCTATTCGAAAATCCTTTCATGTTCTCAATGCGCCAACGAATACGGTAATAATACTAAACATAAGCCGTGATGTTTGAATGATTTCAAATCAATACTATATTTTTTATAATAGGGGATGACAGATAAGCTTGGGGTTCAGATGATGGAAGGTGAAATATCCCAGCTGTATAACATCTCAACAAGATACTCTGTCGACTTATTTTGGTTTAGAACTTCGATATGGAAACGCGATTAAGCTTCACGGCGTTTACGTCTGTCGATAGTGTGTGACCCGGCCGAAATTCTGATATTCCTACCGCCCACTTAATAACGGGATTTCCAAAGTCAACATGTGTCAGAAAAAATATGAATTCATTGGAAACACGTTGGACTCGGTGGGAATCGAACCCACGGCACGTTATAGACGAAGTATCGAAAACTACTCGGTGTTCGATTATAAGTAATTATTTTTTTCCGTATTTTAAATGATAGTAGCGTTATTTGTATCCTATCCGTCACAGATTTGCATTGTTACATTTCATAACTTTGTTTCTATTTCATTGACTGTTCGTAGCGTAAATGGGCATTTCGCTCTTAAAATTAAATCAGCAAACAATTATGTGATACTATGAATATTCAACACTGTCTGTAGTTTACGCGAGTGATACACATTTAAATAAAACACTTTAACGGTTTAAAACTCGATATCTATTAATTAAACTTATTTGAAAATTATTTTAACTACTGCTGCTGCAAAGCATCGCAAACGCCCGGCCGTAGTTAAAATAACTAATATATATCGTATTTTAAACCGTTAAAGTGTTTCATTTAGATCAATTTAAAGTGAAAATCTTTTCGCTTTATATTGTTTAATAATACTTACTTGGAAGCTGGTACATTTGTGAGGCATAAAAAGTTGTTGCGGACGCTCCTAAGGCTCGCCAGGACTTGAGCAAATGGAGTCACGATCAAGTCTTCTCCATGACTGTGGACAAAAATTATAAATTATCATCACATATCTATTACTAATTAAAGGCGAATGAGTTCAGTGAATAATGGATCTATAAGACTTACTATGTATTAAAGAGAAACTATATATTCAAGTTAAAACACTAAATCAATTAGAAATAGAAGTGAGTAATAAACTAGTAATGTTTTGTAATAACGGTTTAAAACGCGAACTTTATTAACAATCGAACCCTAAACATGTGTCGTAGTTAAAAAATAATTAAAGTGTAGACCCATGTTTCGGATGTTTTAGAATATCAGTACTTAATAAATAATTAAGAGCTCGCGTTTTAAACCGTTAAAAGTGTTTTATGATTTAAAATATAGACTACAGATACAACTGCATGTAAAGAAGCATGCATTAAAAATAACCTTTCATTCTTATGCGTATGAAAAGATAATTGTATTTCTTAACTATATAGCAAGAAAGCTTACTAAACTACTTAAGTAGTAGAACTAGTAAAGAGTTTGAACTCCAAAGAAATAATCACAGAATGATGCTTCAAGCAAGTAGTACGTAAGTAACAGGTTTGCAAAAAAAAACTTTGATGGCCAAAATTCTGCGCGGACGAAGTCGCTGACACAGCTAGCAGAAAGTCGATGTTAAATGCTTTTATTTAATTTTTTTTATACTACTGAGTGTAAAAAAAGCGACCAGTATTTAGGTACTAGGTACTATTTAGATATATAGTATAGTGAACAAAAGTTTCAGGAGATCGTAACGTTTTACGCAGACATTATTAGTTTCCTCTTTCATTAGCGAGCCGTTACTCAACCGTTTATTGTACTTTTTACTATCATTGACTTGCGGCAGATCGTAATAACCCATATAACGGAGGATCGAGGGCTCTTAAATACACCGGTCTAACTTCCTTCTTATTAATAGACAATGCTAACGATGATTACAAGAAAATCTTTTTATTACTTGTCCAAGTCATACATCTTATTTTGTTATGACAGGGAAGGACAGACAAACATGAGGTTCTTTTGTGAGATGGTGGATAGGGCACCCTTCATCTGATTAAGATGCTGTTGACCTACTTTAGCTTTGGACTTTCTGGAATCCAAAGAATGAAACTAAACGTGGACTTTCACTTTCTGAAGTTGATAAAATGTTTTTGGATAAACGAGATTTAAAAAACACGCTAGAAATCAAACCCACGATTCCTTGATAATAAGCTATTAAGCTACTGTACCAATATTATAATAGTCTCAAGTAAAGTAGTGAATAAATCTCGTATTAAGTAATGGGTAAATTATTCTATATTTATTCATGAGAGTAAACATTTTGATGGAGATCCTTGTCCAGAGCATTATGTAGATTATCCGAGGACCTATATTTTGTTTCCTAAACAAGCTTATTACATGATAATAAGCAATAACATTTTCAAATTGGGCAATAGATATTTATGAAGTTATAGAGGATGACCCTGCTGAACAAACTCGTGCGCTTGGAAAGTCGACCACCGCAGCAATTTTAATAAGAGATAGTTTATCTTTAGTAGCAAAGATTAAACCACAAGGGCTACGTAAATATATGTCCAAGTCAGTCAATAAATACGTAGCCTTATTACATTTAAAAATAGATTGAAAATTTTGATGACATGGTGGGGACAAACGTACAATCATTCATCGCCGTTGCTCTGCAAATTGAGCTTGAATTATTATTATTAAAACAGCTGATAATGTTAAATAGATCATGTGCTAAATATTGGTATATATTTACGTTTTCTGCATTAGTTCGTTGTTATATAAATGTCACAATCAAGTGACCGTCATGTGCTTTTCAGTTTTGGCTTGAAACCCTGGAGTTGTGCCCAATGATCGATACTCGAACTGACGACGATGAAAAACCTAAAAACACCGACCTACTCATAGTATTGGAATAGTTTTTTGAATCACCTAGAATATGTAATGCATTCTTTTGTAGACGGGACGTATTTATTCATGGACTTTCGCCAAGACGACAACTACACAACGCTAAGATCGTGTAGAAATCATAACAGGACATTGTCATGTAAACAGACATCTTACAATGATGGAAATAAGCAGCGACCCTTCATACCCTAAGTGCAAAGAGTGTGAGAAATCATCCATATACTCACTGAATTCTCTTAGTCAAAATTAAGACACATGGGAACTGACAATATCACACATCATAATATTAAAGAATTTGGGATGGAAGAAATATTAAGATTATGCAAAGAAAACAGAAGGCTTAGAGGGGACACACTGAAAGTTAGATAACCCAATGTCCTCCGTAAAGGGTTGATGTGGAAATGGGTGAAATGGTTAAATAATGTGGTCACTCGGCCTTCCATCGTTGTTCATTTAATTATTTCGGTCGAGCTGGACAGAGAAGTTTGATTATACGGTCAATAAAGCGGACTCAGAGTGTCCTCGTCCCATACTCTGTAGAGAGAAAGAAGATGTCACTAATTTAAGAATAAGTTACCCTGTAGAAGATAATATAAAAATATGCGAAATAGCAAGCATCCAAGAGTAAGCAATAAGTTTGCTCTGTGATACATTTAGAATGTCTTTGATTTGTTGGCTTTGCAAATTTCTAATTATACGGACATACCAGGACGAGGGACTGAGCCAAATCACGTACTTGCTGGCGTTAAATTGAATAAAGACTCATTTCAGTATTACGATTCAGCTTATTGGATTGCGCAAAATTCCATATGAAAACTCGTTATATTTAACATTCCACATTTCCTCGCCCCTATTGATCACAACATGATGCTTTAAGCCTAAAGCCTTCTTCGATAAATGCGCTAACCAACAGCAATATTTCAATTCGAACCAGCAGTTCCTGAGATTACCGCGTTTAAAATAATCTCTTCGGCTTTATAATATTAGCAAGTATGGGTGGGAAAGTGATTCTACTTTCCCTATTGGGTATGGGACGATTGGATATGGGGCTATTTCTGTATCTATATCACCGATCGACTTTTGGAAGTGGTGGATCAGACTGTAATGAGAGAAAATATTTAGAATTATATTTTATCGTTCAAAAATTTACCACAAATATAGAACACAAATGACGTTTTCAGTTCTAATATTACAAAATAAACTACAAGAGATTTTCTTTTTAACTTTTCAGTATTGTAAGCCGAAGTCGCATGAATTTATAGTACTTGCTTATAGCTACCAAGAGGAGAGCCATCTAGTCCCATTCTGTGTGCTATTACGTGCATCCTGTGATTTATTAAGAGTCATTTAGTAGGACGTTGTATGCAATTGTTGTTCCCTAACGCTTCTTGCGCTCTAACAATAGATAAATGATAAGCCTTCTTTAACTTTATATTCAATAAATATAAATAAGAGAAAAATATTAAATAAAAAGTCATCTTCCAATAACGGACAATTTGAGTTTCAGCACGATTTAGACTCAGCAATGAAATATTGTCTTTTTGTAACACTAACTCTTTAGATTATATGTCTAATTTACTTAAGTATACTAAAAATATTTGTTGATTATTTTTCGTCTGGACTTAATATATTGATCTCAAAGTTATCTTTTGCTTCGTATAGGAGAGTATTTTTATATCAATTAAATAATGAGGCCTAATTTGATTAGAAGCTTACTTTTAATATAACACAACCTTTGACATTAATTTTGTACATGCACATTTTTTTTATTTTAAAGTTTTTTTTTCTGATGTAATAATACTATTTTCTCGTAAGAAAGCTTTTATAAATATCTAAACTAACGAGCGTTCGTTGCTTCTATTAATAGTTATCGAGTTAAGCCTTTTAGAAACGTGCTCTGTAGCGTGTACAGAATATTTCATTCGGAGTAAATATGTGAAAATGAGATGAATATATCCGAGACTAATCTTCTTTTTAACCGAAGACGGCAAACTAAATAATGATTTTATCCTGATGTATAAGTATAGTTCACAATAGCAATAGAATGAACTGTACCATTTCCTATCAATATGCTTGTTTAAGTTGTCATATATTTTTTTTAAGGTAAGGTATATTTACAATTTATAATAACATATTTTTATTTGTAGTAATAATAAAATACATACTTCATATTTCCGCAGTCTAGTTTCTATACGCTTTTTACTTCTTTTAAAAAAAAGATAATCCACAATATTAATGAAGCGGAGAATTGTTTTGACATTTACGGCAAGCACGTAACTTTTTAATTAATATTGTTTATGGGAAGACTAATGATAAATAAAGGACTAATGATTTATAGTCTATGGTGGAATTCGAAAAGTTTTTACACAGATGAATAATAAATTGGACCGCATGAAGTGAATTATGTTTTTAAGTGCAATTTTTAGAAAATATATTAATATAACATTTTTATGACCCGAGTTGGTATTTTGATGGGTGCATTTTACTTTCACAGTATGTACAATCCTTATAAACTTAATAACGTCAAAAGTAATTTCTTTTGCAATCTTATGAGCTTATCAGATTGAAGTTATATACTGAGAAAATATTGATATAGTCAAGATCAGGCTGGTAAGATCGTGCCTTTCAAAGGTTGTCTAGTTGTTTTACGCTTCGTTGTAGCACGCCCACGTTTTGTTCTCGTTTATTGGTTTACTAAGTAATGAAACAAGGAACTCATAATAATTTAATCAGAACATTAAAAATACATTTTAGAGGTGCACAAAAAATAAATCGGGACACTAAAATAGACTTAACATGACCGTCTGTGAAAGTTAAACAACTATGCATCTCTATTGCTCCTTTTATAATGAATACAAAAAAAAAGACTCTCATTAAAAAAATAACGTGACTTATCGCCATTTTAACTCCATATTGATACATAGTAACAGATAGACATTTGAACTAATTTAAAAAGAAGAGAATTTAAAATTTGTCTAACTAGTAAATGGCACGATACCAAGGCAAGTTCTTAGAAAGAAATAACTTTTTAAATCAAACCTAGCATGTTCCACACCGCAGGTACTAGATTCATAGAAAATCAACAACGAAAATTACCTA